TTTCTTTGTTTGTTTATTTGTTTTCCTTTGTATCTGTGCTGCAGCCAAAGAAGAAAAGAAGAAACAAAAAAAAGGGCAATTTATACACAAACACAGAGAAAGAGAGGGATTGATGTTTCCCACTTTAGTTGCACTCCATCACGCTATACAAGATATTCACCAACTCGCCCAAATCCAACAAGAGAATGATGATGATAATAATAATAGTAACAACGACAGTAATGCGAAGGAAAGCGAAAAACAATTATTTACTTCCACTCCAACTCCAACCATCATCACAGTAAAAACAGGTGATGTAGTGGCGCGGCTTCTCAACAGTATTGAAGAAGCCCTCACACCTGATCCATTATATAATGCCGGTGTATTCTTTACGGAAATTGTCCAGCCGCTGTTAAACCACATACCTCGACAACACAAAACACATTTCCCACTTGAAGAAACATTACGGCATCATCGGCCGGATGCTATAGATGCATTTCGTTGTTGGCTTATCCACAGTCTAAATACAGTAGACTCTTTACGGGAGTCTCTGATGATATTGTTACTATGCCCATCACCTATAGAGGCTGAAGAAGTGAATATGAATAGAATGACGAATACTACTACTACTACTACTACTACTGCGTTGATGAGGAGGAATAGTAATAGTGGTAGTAGGAATCATGAAATAATAGATACTGGAAATATGGAAACTGTATTGTTTAGAAATGAACAGGCACGACGATTGCAGCAATGTTTAGGCCCACATTCCTATCTCCTACGTGAGGAGTATATATTGCAGTTATTAGATTTATTACATGCGGTATGGCACCCTACGCGTGAGATCTCTACAAGAAGAGAAATAAAATCGCATATAATATCTTCTGCAGATGTGTTGATCCAATATCAACTTTCATTCATGGAGGCATTGCCGTTGTTTTGGGATCTGCCGCGTGTCGTGCATGTGGAGAAATTGAAACTGCAAGGCAAGCGAAGAAGAAAGAAACTCCATCAACATCAAGAAGAAGAAGAGAAAGAACACCTAAAAAGTATGGGAGTTGATCGAAAAGAGAATGGGTATGAAAAGAATAAGAAATTCAATGGAAATGGAAATGAGTATATCTACGTTCTTGATGCCTCCACGCAAACTGTGGAAGACAATAAGTGTAGAAATACGCATGAACAGCCAACTAATAGTCGTAGTCGTAGTAATAGTAGTAATAACAGTGCTAGTAGTAGTAGTAGAAGTAGTGTTAATGATACGGATAAGGATAGAAGTCGTTTAAAAGGTAAAATAATTATAATCCATGGGGATCATCATAATAGTGTGCATACAATACCTAAAGCCTCTACACATAGTATTGCTGTTAATACCGTTCATCCATCATCCTTAATGTCCTTTGTAGAGTTATTAGATGCACAGGAGGAACTGGAGAAGGCGCGATCAGCATTACGACGTGAGGAGGAAATCCTGCAATTGCGTGAAGAGTCTCTTGTGGAGTTGGAAAAGGATTATCGTGAGAGATTAGATCTCTTAACACATGTCCTTCGTGGGGCAAAGAAGATATATAATGAGTTTGTAGTGAATGCTCATACAGAAGAACTCCACAGGGCAATTGGAAAAGAACAAACCACAACACAGAAACAGCAGATGGATACTCATATGAATATAAATACAACTGGTATTACGAATGCTGATGTGGAATCTCGATTACTGAATCTTGTTGAAGTTCTTTACGGTAATAATAATAATAATAATAATAATAATAATAATAATAATAATAATAATAATACAACGAGAGCTGCTGTGCCTATTCCGCAAACACCAGAAACGCTTGCTGCTGCTAATAGGATGATTGCCCAATATCAAGAAGAACGTCAAAAACGATTAGGACTGAGAGAACAATCCCATACTTCTTCCGCTGCGCCTATTCCTCTCATGAGGCCGGATGGTGTTTCTCTCATGTTTACACCTGTACTCTTTCCCCCCGCTGTTCTCCCTCGTCCACTGCAGCTGCAGCAACAGGCCTATCGCTGTGCTGATTGCCGTGCCCCACTTGCCGGTGTTGGGGTGAAGTTCTTCCGTCTGGATCGCAAACCACGACGTTGTCATTATTGCACGCAACTCTATTGTCATCATTGTCATTCCAATCAAATGGCGGTGTTGCCGTTTTTGGTGTTAACACATTGGGATTTCACCACCCGACGTGTGTGTGGACGACATTATGAGTGGCTGCGGCGGAATTGGAATCGCCCTTGCTGTACAATGGGTGGACGAGAAGAAGAAAGAGAAGAAGAAGAACAACAACAAGAACAACAACACTTTCATCCAGTGGCGATGAGAGATGCGGTTGTGCTTGTAAAGATACTACGCCATTGGTTTCTTATCTGTGCTCGTATGTTAAGATGTTGTCCAGAGCCGATATCTGCAGAACTCACGGCAATACTACAGACATACTATGCAGAGACAGATGTGATGTACGCATTAAGTGATTTACGTGGAATAAAGTATAGTGAAGAGAATGGTATGATAGCACGGGAACTACGTGGAGGTAAAGCATGGATGGATCTTTTGCATATACGCCATAATACTAATGATAATAATAATCTTACTAATACTAATGATAATAATAAGAATAGTAGTTTATTATTTATTGATCCAGTACATCTTATGACAACTGTCGGTAGTGTAGTAGGTGCTTCTGCGTCGTATCAACGAGCCATGAAGTATTTGCGTGGTTCACTACATAGAGAGAAGAGTCGATCCACTTCTTTAGTCTGTGAAAAGCAAGAAGATGAAAATGAAAATGATGATGATAAGAAGAATAAGGAAGAGGAAGAGAATGATAATGATAAGGATGATGATTGTCATTATTCACACTATTGTCATTCCTCATCTTTAGGGAGAAGTACACATACATCATCCTCCACATCCTCCTCCTTTGCTACTGCAGGAGAGACTATGACTACTAATACTAATACTACTAATACTACTAGTGCAAGTACAATGATTGGAGTGAACAGTCAAACGACTAGTCATGATGAGAAGGAACCGGACTTTGTACGTTATCTCGTTACGCAAATTCAAATGATGGAAAAACATCTTCTTCATGATTGTACATTCTGCGTGGCCCGCACAACAACTGTGTGTGAACTCTGTGGAGATCGTGAAGAGGAGGCACGATTGCCTTTCATAGACGCTGAGGTTTTTGGTATTCGGCTTCTTGAAACCCTAACAAGATCCACAATCTCAACATCATCATCATCATCTCTAGAGGGTTATCACACAGCAGATAATAATAATAATAATAATAATAATAATAATAATAATGGGGATCCACAACTCATTCTCTTAGCCTCTGCAGCCATGCAGTTGGTGCGTGGTGGGAATCGTAATAACAAGAGAAGAAGTGTGGTCGCATGCAAGCGATGTGGTACGAGATATCACAAGTTGTGTAAAGAAAAAATAGCTTGTCCACACTGTACGTGAGAGAGAAAAGTGAATGGATCCAAATAAAGAGGGAAAGAAAGTAATGGACGAATGAATACAAAAAAAAAAATATACAAAAAAGCGTATCTTTGCAAAGTAAATTTGCTCTAGTGTGTTGTGTCTGTGCTTATGTCTGAGTCTCTCTCTCTCTCTGTGTCTATATATATATATGAGTGATGATTGATTATACACATGATTTCTGCTTATGACTGATAAACAGTATATTTCCCTCCCCTTTTTTTTTCTTTTCTTTTTATTATTATTTGCGCTTCATTCCTTTTTTTTTTCTTATAGCTAGTGCTTCTTTTTTTTTCTCTCATTATGATTGCTATCCGTTTGTTTCATCAATTCCAAAAAAAAAAAAAAAAACGAATATAATTGTGGTAAGAAAATGCCCTTATTGTTATGGTCTCTTCTGATGTATGGTATTCCTTTCTTTTTATTTATATTTTCTTTTCTCTCTCTTTATATATATATATATATATATATCGTTTTCAAAGGTTTCTTTACTGGTGAGAAGTGAAAAAGAGACATGCAAGAAGAAGAAGTTGCTGTAGATATTGACCGTCTGGTCGATCACTATTTGGGAATGCAGACCGTAATGGTCTCATCATCTCCTTTTCTTATTAATGGTGACAATGATGATAGTAATAATAATGATAACAATAGTATGAATAAGAATGAGGATGACTTGCAAACAGCGGTGGAGAAGAGAGATACAAGGATAATCCCACCGATAAAAATATCCAACAATAATAATAACAATAAGAACACATTCAATAGCCAAGATGTTCACAGTAGAGGTGATTATGAGGATGAGGATGAGGAGGACATTGAGGCTATAGTAGAGAGTATTCTTCGTGGAGATCGGTGTGGGGATGGCAATCCCGCAGAAGGGCCACTATGGGAAGATGAGAAATCATTCTCCCATCAACATCAACATCATCATCAACAAGAAGAAGAAGAAGAACAGATATTTCCCTTACGAAAAGAAAAACAAAAACAAACAAACGAACAAGAAGAAGAAGAATTAGAAGAAGAAGAAGTGGAATCACCTCTACCAAGGCGAGTAGATGTAGATCCCTCCACTCGCCGCACACACTCCATCTCATCCCACCGCAGTCAAAGCAGCAGTAGTGTCCATCACTTACTCCGTCGGTTGAAGATGTGGCAGGAAAGACGAGATGCAAAACGTCTGCAGGCGGTGTATGAGGCACTTCTGCAAGAACAGGCGGAATGTCCATTTCATCCACAATACACCTCTACTCGTGGGGAGAGTCAAAATAATAATAATAATAATAATAATAATAATAATAATAATAATCCTTATTATTATTATTATTATCATAATAATACCAATAACAAGAGTGGTATACATACAGAGGATCCAAATTGTGTGTTTGATGTAAATGGTGTGGGATCATTTCTCTCACGAATGAAAGAGGCGCGGGAAGTGCGAGAGGCGGCACGGCGGGCGGAAGAAGAAGAAGTGCGGCGTCACTGCAGTAGTGAGACGTGGAATCCACGGCCAACCATACCGCAGCCATTTCTGCTTGGACGAACTGCACGGCGGGGAAAGAGAAAAGGTATGGCGGCTCGCATGGATACATTTGGGCAATATGCGGAGAATATTCGTGCGCAGTTGTTAGAGACACCGTCGATGATTGAAGGGCCATCGGTGCCGAGTGGATTGTTCTCTGTGCCGTCTACAGAACTGCTTCTTCAGCATCTCTCGCACCAGGATACAAGAAGAATGTTGTAGACAAGGAAGAATATATATAGAGAGAGAGAGTTATGAAATATTTTTTTAATATTACGGTTCTTTTATTATTATTATTATTATTATTATTATTATTATTATTATTATTATTATTATTATTATTATTATTATAGTGATTATTTTTTTTTTCTTATTGTGACATCGTGATGTCGTTGACGATATTTATTTATTTATTTTATTCCTTTTAGTCTGTATGAGTATTATTTTTTTTCTATTTGAGTAGTTTACCTCTTGTTCGTGTCTCCATCTATATATATATATATACATATATATATATATATATTCTCCATTATCGTTTGCTATTATTACTACTCACCAGTATTACTGGTATTATTAATTCTCCTTTTGTTTTGTTTTCTCTCTCTCTCTCTCTCTCTCTTTCACAATCTCCTGTTTATCTTTCTCTTCTTTTTTCTTTTCCTTTGTACATAAAAATAAAAGAGTCTTTCTATTGTTATTTCCTGTAATATTAGAAGGGATGCGAGGTTTCTCTTCCCTGTACAGGAATAGTCTTCATCCGCTCTCACTGCGGCATCACACATCGCGGGTTTTCCATCACGAACGACTCACCACTTCCATCTGTTCTTCTCTTCACAGTTATCATAATAATAATAATAATAATAATAATAATAATAATAATAATATCCCTGGTATGTGTAGGTGTACACTCTGTATACCCGTGCGAGCCTACAATACAACAATTCCATCATCTACTTCTCATATAGAAAACAACAGCACTGACAGCGGCTCTAGTGATTCCCAACCTATAGGAACAAGTACAGGAGTTAGTAGTACTACTGATACTACTACTACTACTACTAATAATAATAATAATAATAATAATAATAATAATAAAGATGGAAACTCCTCTTCTTCTTCACATTCTTCATCTTCACATCGTTCACCTCGCACAGTACGTCTACACAACATGCCGCGTACGTGGATGCATGAAGAAGTTGTGGAGTTTCTCCATCAAGTGGCCGAACATGCCGGCATTGAGCCACCAACAACAACACCGTCCTCTTCTCAAGAGAAAGAAGATGAAGAAGAAGAAGATACGACGTCTGCTGTACCTTATGTTACTTCTCCTTTTGTTGTTCGTATGCATATTCCCTTTGGTCGCCGCACTGGTATTATCTGTGGGTCTCCTATTATTCAACTCACCTCACATGATCTCGCTCATTATTTATTACATGATTTGACATTTGACCCAGATGATTATAGAAATCGTATCTATTTTACAGAAGTAGTGGATGCCAATCAGAATAGTAGTGATAATAAGAATAATGATATGGCTTCATTATCAGAGAAGGTGGCGATGGAGGCGGAGCAGCAGGAGGCATTAGAGGCATTAGAGTTGGATCGATATTTATTGGCTCCCGATCTTTTATATGATATTGCGAAAATGCGGCAAAGACGACTTGTGACTCGAAGTTCAAAACTTCTTCTTGAAACGTTTGGAGATGATGAGAATATTAATAATGATAATAATACTGGTGAGAAGGAAGAAGAAGAGGAAGAACAGGTAATGGAATCTGTGGAGAAGTTAAAACCGAAAAAACAAAAGAAGCAAAAGACGAAAAAGAAGACTCTACGCCTTGTTGGGGAATATAAAGAAATGGGTCGAGGTTCCATGCATAGTGTACCGTTAGCGGTTCCATATGTGCAGGGTCGTCGCGGTACATCGTAATCATCACTATTGTAATATTGTTGTTGTGTTTATGAGATGATAATAAAAGATGAGAGGTGATGCTGGTGGATATACGCATTGCACAGCAATAACCTTATTTCGTGTAACTTTTATCTTTTATTGGATATATATATATTGATTTGTATGAAGTTTGGGGGGTTTTTCCCCTGTATTCCATTTATATTTGGGCGTTTTTTTAATAATCTATTTATTGGCTATTTCTTTTTTTTTTTTTTTCGTTTTCCTTGTTGTTACTATTTTACATTAGAGGATTAGGCCTGGGAACCACTTCTCTTCTTTCTTAGTGTTGCTAACAAAAAAAAAGAAGAAGGAGGGGGAGGAGAGGGAAGTATTGCTTCTTTTATGTATTTCATAGAAAGAGATAGGTAGAGGAATGTCAAGTGTACAATGGAATGAGCGAATCTCAATTTCTCCTATGAGTGATGTCAGTCATTCTGAGCTCCGCTCTGTTACTCTTTCACCTGATCAATCTCTGTGTAATCCAAGTACATTGACTTATTCTGGTCTTCATACTACTACTACTACTAATAATAATAATAATAATATTAGTAATAGTAATAGTATTAATGTAAAGGATGAAGCGCATCGTATGTTGGTAGGTACTCGTGTGTTTGGTTTCCAAGATAAGAATAAGGCATGTTGTTTTGGTGTTATTATTGACACTAACAGGAGCGAAGGTGATGTGAATGTGAACACCACTAATAAAGCCAATGAACAAAAATGGAATAGTGATAATAATAATCATAATAATAATAATTGCCAAAGAGTATTTTCCACTACTTTGCTCTCATGGCCCACTGTGGTGATGCTTACACATCACATTCATCTCCACGATGTTCTCTGTAGTTCATCTGCAAGTTCCCTTTTATTCCGGCCGTACTCTATACATTCTCTTCACTCCAATGAAGAACAATTATCATCAACAACATCAACATTATTATCATCATCAACATCATCATCTCTTGTTGTTTCTCCGTGGGAAGATATGATGTGTGCATTACTTCTTCAAACAGAACTCAACTGGGATGGTGCAACTCAGCGCATCATCTCTTGGGAATCGCAGTCTCGTGTGGAGAATACACTTATGGCTCTGCGTACATGGACGCAGTTGTTCTTGGATGGATTTCTTCGCTGGGTTCCCCCATCCACTGGCGTCCGTCTACTCTTCACCAAAGGACACACTAACAGTTATTATTATAGTAATAGTAATAATAATAATAATAATAATATCGTAGATAGATGTGGGGAAATTAGAGTGGCTTTATTAGGTGTGGAGGATGAACGGCTTATACAAGAACATTGGGCCAATTTACAGCGTTATTGGTCTACAGTCGATAGTAGTTCATTAACTTCATGTGATCATAATGTGCATACGGCTTTGGATGGGCGATGTGAGTTATATCGTACGATTGCAGTCTTTCACAAACACTGCCGTCCAGTGCTCCAACAGTTCACAGATGATAATAGTAATAGTAATAAAGAAGAAGAAGGAGGAGGAAGTTGTGTAAATAACAATAGGAAGAAGTGGAGTATAAAGAATAGTATGCAACTTACATATGCAATGGCTATTGTAGCCCATATTGAATTATATCTACAGATGTCATCATCATCATCATTATTATTATTATCTCATGATGATGATGATAATAGTGATAAGTATAGTTCTAATACAATTCCCTTTACTACCGCAGAACAGAATCATTTCATTGAAATACTCGCATTCCTTCTGTTTCCTCAGAGCAAAACCGTCTGTGAAGAAGGACGACGTATGGCTCTTCACTGGATAAACACACATTTGTGTACTCAAGAAGCACATCATATACTCTTTAGTGGTCCATCCAAATTGTCATTTCATGATTTTCTCGCCTCATTTGCACATTGGTTATTATTGCAGGTAGTTCCAAGCTTATTACGTTGTGTTAATGTAGTCTTATCCCGTCAATTGTGTAGTTATGCCTCCTCTTGCAATGGATGTAATGATGAGAATCTTTACAGTGATGTAAACTCCCCTTCTCGAGCATTGCGTTTGCGGTTTCAGCGTGAGATGAGATTAGAGGATAGATCTGCAGGATCTTTACATAAAACAACAACGACATGTAGACGGAATTTGTTAGGAGATATTAGTTTAACAGATTGGATAAAGTGGATGAAGAATCAACAAAGTGAACTTCAATCTGTATCTAAACATGAGAAGAAAAGCCATAAGGGTAAGAGTCATTGTAATAAGATGGATACCTCGACAAGAAAGCAACGTGCATTTTTCTTTTCTTTATCCCCTGCAGGAGTGAAACTTCTGAGTATTTTCGATTCTCTTAACTTGTTTAATACTAATACTACTACTACTATAATAACGGCTGGGCTCTCAGATAGAACATTTGATCGTCCGCAGACGGCGTTGGCGGTGAGTCGCTGGATGGTTGGTTGTAGTAAAGATGAAGTGTTAACACTCCAATCTTCATTAAAAGACTTTCCTTTAGAAAGTGTGGAACGGCAAAGAAAGCCACTGCGGTTATTTACACTTGCGGAGTTTATTTCACATTACCGAATGATTGTGGATGTGCCACGTATTGAACGTATTAGCTTTTCTTCCACGAAGAAAGTAAAAGATGATGTGATTAATGTATTCTGTCCTCTTCCACCTTTATTTGATATCTCGCTTACGCACTTTCATCGCTTTTCGCCGGTAAATCAGGCGAAACTTATTTGCTCCGCTGTTGGGTTAAATTACACAGCGTATGTCTCCAGTAAGGAGGAGAAGGAACACCAACAACAACAACAAGAAGAAGAACAACAACAAGAACAATTACTGTATGGACAAGAAGAAGAAGAAGAGAAAATGGAATGGCAGCAGCAACAGAAAGAAAAACAACAACAACAACAATGTGTAGTGGGATGTGATGAGGTGGGTATGTATGGTAGTGAAATCATGATGACAAAAAAGGCTGTGATGAGAAGAAATCATCGTAATCATCATTCTTCTTATACTTCTACTATTATACATAAACAAGAAAATACACCAGTCTTATTATCATCATCATTATCATCTTCTTCTACGGCTATTACTGTATTGGAGGACTGTGGTATATTGAAAATATATGACTGTGTAGCGATTGAACAATTGGAGTGTGCACGTCATTCCGCATCTCTACAATTGTATACATATGGTATTATCCTTCTGCAAACATTTCTACGTTCCCGCTGGTCTTGGCGATGGAATATGTTGCCACTTCGCCGTCGTGCACATCGGCAGGCTATTATCACCGTTCAAACAGCACTGCGTGGGCGACAGTCCATGTGTCTAGGACGGCAAAAAGCAGAGAAACAACAGGAGCGAGTGATGATGTGGTGTGAGGAGCGTAAACGTCGAGAAGTTATGCGTGAACACCTCATACGTAGATTAGAGGAAACTGCAATCACATGTCTCCCCATGGCAGCAACAGTAGAAGATAAAGATAAAGATGAGAATCTTAACAAGATGTGTAATCATGACCATACTTATAACGACAATGACAATAACTATAAAGGTGAGAAGAATAACATGGAAGGATCATATGATATAAAGATAATGTCTCACGCCACTATGAATACAGGGAATCTCATTAGAAAGTCAATAGATATACCTAATACCACCGCAGTCGTGAAAGCCAGAGAAATGTTTGGTCTCATTCCCTCTGTGAATAGTTCTTCTAAAATACCTCCTTCTCTGGGATCTCATAATAATAATAGTCTTGCAGAAACACTATTTACCATGGAAACAAAAGGAAGATGTTTGGTGGAGTCTATAGAGGCGAAAAAACGACGAGGGATATTTATCGCATTAGAGGAACGAGTTCGAGAACGTTATCTTCTGCAGGAATACCGTGAACGACGTGTGGTGATGCAGCAGGCAATGGAGCAACAACAACAGGCCACAGTGAAGGCCAGTCAACAACAGTGGCGTAAAAGGCAAATGCAACAAAAGCAACGATTGATTCTCTTGCAAAAACAAAAACAAAGAGAAAAAGAAGAAAAAGAAGAAAAAGAACAACAACAGGAGAAGGAGGAGGTAGTGGTGGTGAGAAAGAAAGTGATAAAACCACAAACACATTCTCTCCGCTCTTCTTCTTCCTCTTCAGTAAAGAGAGGTATCAGTGTACCCCATAGTACTGTAACCCCTAAGGATATGCAAGAGAAAGGTACAACTACTACTACTAGTAGTAGTAATAGTAATGATGTTGTTATTGTTATAGACGTAAACGAGGAGGAGGATGATAATGATGATGAAAAGAAAAAGAAAAACGAAAAGGAGTTAATAATAGTTCCTTCAGAATGTCATTCCGTTGCTCACAGACATTCCCCAATATTGTTGCCAAATCCAGAACAGTTGCGTACAAAACGTGGATCTTCACCTTCACCACCTAGTGTTCTGGCGACTGCCAAAGCTGTAGGAATACTGGGAGAAAAAGGAAAAAGAACATTATCCCTAATTACGAAGGAGTCCTCTAGTACCCCAATGATGGCATTATGCAAACATGAGTATGAAGATCGTACATTTATTGAACTAAGTCAACGCTATCGTCGACAATTACTATTACACAGTGCGATACTCTCACGTCTTGGTGTGAGAGAAATGCAACAACGCCGTGTGCTCTTTCTTTCTGCTGTATTGGAGCGTCAAGAGTTGTTAACCCGATGGAGAGATATCATTCTACCGTATACACTCATTACAGAGACATTATATGGGGATTTTCTTGCCGTGATGGTTGTCTTGCAAGACGCTCCACGGCGTCGAGGGCCTAATGCGATGCGTGCAATGATGCGATTGCGTAATCGACATGTGAACATCACTACAGATATAAAATCTCGTGGTAGTCAGGATATTTCGAGAGAATATGAACATAAAGAAGAAAAAGAAAAACAGAAGCGAAAGGAAAGGGACTTAGATAAGGAAAATGGCCTCATTGGTGGTAAGAAGAAAGAAATCCCAACAGTAATGAAACGAGCTGAGTTTCTTCAAAAATCAAATCTTCACGTGCTTTCTGGTCAAAATGTTCCCCTGCGTGCGTCCAGTGAAAAAGATGGAGTGATGGAGGAAATACCAAAAATAAGAAAAATAAGAACATCATCCTCATCAGCGTCAGCAGCAGTAACAGTAACAGTTGCAAGAGGAAGGATGGTAAACTTAAAGAAAGGGGAAACGTCAAGATCATCTTCAAGGAAGCCTGTTGTGAGTTGGGCAGACCCCCCATCATCTCTGTAATTTTTCATGAAGAAGAAGTTAACGAAAGAAAGAGTGAACATGTTTTGTTTATTTGTGTTTTTGTGTGTGTGTGTGTGTGTGTGTTTACACGTGACAGTATCTCTATAGAAATAGAAATTATTATTATTATTTTTTTTTTTTGCTAGATGCAAACTAGATAGATGCATTCACTGACGCATTCCATGGATATGTACTTTCTGATATAACAAACAGGAAGAAAGTGTTATAAAAGAAAGAAATTCTTGTGGTGGTGTTAAGTAAACGATTATAGTATTTATTTATAAAGGTAATAAATATAATGAAAGAAATGAAGTGATACTGTTGTACTCTGTTCTCTTTTTCTTTCTTTTCTTTCTTTTTTTTTCTTGTCAATAAACATGAAAAGTGGGGGTGGGGAGGACCAGGTAAGAGAAACTTTAAAAGAAAGGAACAAAAAAAAAAAAAGAAACCAGATCATTTATTTTTCTTTTTTCTAGTTTAGGTATACATGTTGCGCTTTACACTTCGCAGTCTTGGTGGTCAGCGGCGGTGGTGGAAAGAAGGACGACCGGACTTTGCCCGTGCAAATGAGAGACGGCAGCAACTTGAACTCCGCCGCATTGACGCCAGTCATTACTACGCACCGGTGGAACCCACACCAGAACAGGCCTGTACACTCTATAGACAACTGTTAAAGGCGGGCCATGCACAGTTGCGCGTAACAGACAAGAAGTATTATACGAAAAAAGTACGTTATGAGTTTGAGGTGACAGCACGGCAGACAAGCGCACGTGTTCGTGGAATTATGTTTGAAAAAGGTCAGTGGATGCTGAAGAATAAACTTGGCGGTATCGTATGAGGTGTGTGATGGTTGCAAGCACTAAGTCGTTTAACAGAGAATGAAAGAAAGAAAGAGAGGTGGAAATAACGTGTACAATGAAGTGAATTTGATATATTAATTGAATATTATATATATATATATATATATATGAAAAATGTCAATTAAACAAATATAATTATGTGTATATACAAAAATTGATTTCTTTCTTTTTTGTTTTTTTATTCTTTTCTTTTCTGTACGGAAGAAGAAACTCATGGTAGGGAAAACATACCTTCGGTACACGGTTGGTCCGCAGGGCGGGGCAGTCGCCAGCAATGCGTCCTTATCCCTATGCAGCGTTCTTGCACGTCCATCCTATGCAGATCAGACGACCTCAGGCAATAATAAGAGTAGAGCTCGACAGCGAGATACGGCGGCAGCTGTTTTATTCGCTGCCAGTCTTGAAGCTGTTCGTGTCTACTCTGTTCGCAGTGGGGTCTTGCAGCATACACTCATACCAGCGGAATCCAAGATGCCGTTGGAAGTCACTACACTCCGTGTGGTGCCATTGGAAGCCGTAACTGTATCCTCCAATCCACGTATTGAAGAAAGTGGGTGGATGGTAATGGTTGGATATCAGAATGGTCATGTCGCTGTCTTCTCATGTGGACCGACAGTTAATTATGGCCTTCCTGTCTGTCGTTTCTATGCACTTGGACACAAGTCAGACACCGCTGTTCTTGCCCTCGCCGTGGATCCCCAACGCACCTGTATGTGCAGTGGTGGACAAGACACAGATCTCACGGTTTGGGATCTCGTCACTCAAGAGGCCTCTTTCCGACTACGTGGACATCGTGGTGGTGTTGTGGGCGTTGAGTTTGTCCCACAGGAAGGTGCAGCTGCCGCCGTTGGAGGTGTAGGTATGGGAATGGTTGTAACTGGAGCAGCAGATGGACTTATTAAGGTTTGGGATATTGGTATTCGACAATGTGTGCAGACACTTGTTGCATCCGATGCACAGGTCTCCTCCATTTGTTTGGACAGTGCTGGAAGGCGTTTATATTGTGGATTACGTGAGAGTCAATTAAAGGTCTTTAACACAGAAGCTCTTACGAAAATAGAGGAGAAGAAAAGGAATAATGATGAAGTTGAAGAAGAGGCAATGGTAGTAGAACATGGCAGTATCCCACGTAAACTTCAAAAACCTGTTACTTCTATCTCTTTTTCACATGATGGTGTTTTTATGTTGGCATGTACAAGTAAAACATTGGAAGTATTTCGTATTTTAACCCGAGAAGATGTTCGAAAGAAAGTCTCACGCAAACGTAAGCGACGTGCGGCGAAGAAAGAGAATGAATTGGGAGATGAAGAAGAAGAAGATAATGATGATAATGAAGAAGAACAGGAAAAGCGACGTATGGCAAAAAATGGAGAGATAAAGGGTGAAACTGCAGATAACAATGGTAATACCAATGGTAATAGCAAAAAGAAGACTCCACATCATAGTGCTGGTGGTACTAGTAGCAGCAGTGGTCCTACAACTTCTTCTTTACCTACAGCTACCGCTACGGAGGAAGTTGTACTCTTACGAACATTCTTTATGGATGAGAAGGTACGAAGTGCTTGTTTCGTCCCACCGTCCAGCACTATTGGTAGTGGTGGTGGTAGTGGTCTACGTGACAGTGGTCGTCTACATATTGCTGTCACTTTTAATAACAATAATATTCGCACATACACCACATCTTTAACTACAAGCGAATTGGAAGGTGCCGCTACATGGGCTCTTGATGATCTTACCCAACGTCACACCCTACAAGAGGGACATCAATCAGATATTCGTGAACTCCTCCTAGTTGAGGATGATACTGCATTACTTTCTTTAAGTGCAGAGAAACTTATGTTATGGAATGTTTCCATCACCGGTAATCAAGATTCTTACTATGATGGTGATAATGGGGCCATGAGTACCAATCCACATGACTATTATGATGCGAAGGAGGCAAATGTACGACATCCCACCGCTGTGGGGGCCTTAACCTGCACAAGTCACATCCCACTACAAGACGCAGTATCCATGGCAGCCATCTCGCCAAGTTTATGTTGTGTAGGACAAAAAGATGGAGCTGTATTACTTGTGGATGTACCAGCAGCTGCAGTGGTGTTTGCAGAGACAGGTGTACACGTTGGTGGAGTACGGCACATCGCACGGCGAACAGATGGAAGTGGATTTGTTACTATTGGTGCCGACCGTCGTCTTATTGTGTGGACACTCGCACTCGTTAAAGATGAGAATGAAAAGAAGGAAGACGGTAATGAAGATAATAATAATGATGATGATGATGATGATGATGATGAAGAAAGAGGCCGACGTGGTGGTAACAGGCGTAAACATAATAATAACCACAAAAAGAATGTTAATGATGAGGATGAGGAAGAGGATAAAAAAAATAAGCATAAGGAGGGACATCCTCCTAAGAGGTCTGTTCAGGCCAAACCACAATTATTGCAGTCGATGGAAATTGAGCTTACGGAGTCTCCACTCTTTCTTGCCTTTAGTCCAGACAATCGCTTTATGGCGGTGGGTCTTCAGAACACAAATATTCAACTCTTCTTCGCTGATACAATGAAACCGTATCTTGTGCTTTTTGGTCATAAATTACCACCAACCGCAGCCGCATTCAGTACAGATGGCACACTTGTGGCCTCTGTGGGTATGGATAAATCTCTTCGATTGTGGGGTACAGATTTTGGTGATTGTCATCGTGCTATTCATGCACATGATGACTACGTCACTCAAGTGGCCTTTTTAGAAGGTACACATCAACTGTTAACAGTCTCACTGGATGGATCTGTCAAACACTGGGATGGAGATAATTGGACTATGATTCAGGTATTCCGTCAACATCAACGTGGGGTATGGGGACTGGCCGCCACAGCAAATGGAACCTGTATTGCAACAGCTGGAATGGATAAATGTATTCGATGCTTCCTCCGTACACAAGATATTGTATTTCCTGAGGAAGAAGAAGAACGTATGGCACAAGAGGCAATGGATGAGGAAGCAGCGAAACGTACAGCTATGCAAACACTTGAACAGCAGAATCCAGAAGTTGGTGTGGCTGGACAAGTTACAACTGCCACTACGGCTGCTGCGGAGAAACTAATGGAAGCACTTGATCTTGTCAGTATAGAACTACAACGTCGTGAGAATAGAGAAGACCTTGCCCCACCACATCCATTACTTGCAAATAAATCGGTGTGGGAATATCTCTGGTCTATCATTGAGAGTGTACGCCCAAGTGAACTACGCCATGCTCTCTCTTCACTCACCAGTACTCATGTGGATGCCCTACTTAATTATCTTGAAACCATGCTAGAGGAACGGGCGGTGTTAAACTATGAGATTGCTGCGAAGATTGTATTGGCGCTTGTAACGGTCTCACCGGGCACTTGTGCGGGTGGAGCGGGTGCGGCTGCCGCCTCTGCACGTGCGGCGATTGCGGGTGAAGTGTCGGAGGCGCATGGGGCCCGTAGACTCGCCGCCCTTCGCCGTTTGATTTCCGAAGGACTTGACCGCACCGTTGGGCGAATGGATTACAATATAGCGGGACTTCAGTTTGTGCGGCAGGTGGTGGAGGATAAGGAGAAGGCACGCTTCTTTGATTTGAGTAAGATACAGGGATATAAGAAGAAGTATCATACCCGGGCGTTGACATCCAGTGGGAATGAAGAAAAGCAACAACAACATCAACAACAACAGCGTAAGGTGAGGTGATAAATATTTCACCTTGTTGTTATTCTTATGACAATTTTTCGAAGAGCAACAATAATAACAACAAACGAACAAACAAACAAAAAAAAAGACAATTGAAAGAAACGTTTAAAATGAAATGAAAAAGGAAAGAATTGAAAAAAAAGAAGAAAAACATCACATAGATATGCAAACATATATACATACATTATTTATACTATATATATATATATATATATATATATATAACGTGTGGATGGGATGTGTTTGTGTGTCTGTGTGTGTGACCAACATGAAAAGAGAAGAGTAATTTTAATGCGAATAACGTCTCAGATAAAACAGAAGTGTTTTTATTTTACTACCTTCATTTTTTTTTAATTTCCTTGTCTTCTGTAGAAGTGAATTCGCATGTTAGATCTGTAGATTATTTCACTAATCTAATGTATATCACTCTCTAATATTTCTTGTTTTTGTTTCTCTATTTATTTATTTATTTATTTATTTATTTATTATGTATACAACACTATTATCTGTCTCACATTCTGTGGAAGAATAAGAAGAACAGGTGGGGGTGCAGGTTGGGAAACAGCCTCTCTCTGCAAGCATAGAAATAGAAGTTAAAAAAAAAAAAAAAATAGGAGTGATATATAGATAATCATTCTCTAATTTATATACATATATAGAAACCCATAGAAAAGATAGTTTGCTAATGAGTAATGTAGAGGAGGCGTTGCTGCATTTACAGCACCTCATTGTTAAGGCCCGACAGAAGAGTCATAGTGGGAGTAATGATAGTGACGATAATAACAGCACAACAAGTGAACATGTTAGTGTTGGGGAAATAGAACAGCGGTTTGCACTACTGGAAGAGGAATTATTTCGCCAAGAAGGTCTACAACAGCAAGCTATTGAGCTTCACCGACGTTCTAAACAACGACGACGCGAACAACAACAACAACAACAATATCATCATCATCAAGAAGAAGAAGTAGAAGATATAGATAGAAGTGATTCTGTAGGTGAAAACGCAATTGCCTCATCCAAGTCTTATAAACTCTCTCACTCCATATCCTCAGATGATCAAATGTCTCCTCATGTGAAGAATACAATAGCAGCAGCAGCAGCGACGGCAGTATCCATGGCAACACCAAAACTGAATAGTGAACTCCATCGGGGTCCCTCAATCTCTCTCAGTAGTACTGCCTCTCCACGACAGCGTAGTTCAACACGGGAGGCAACGCCGTATACAGAGATAAAAAAGAATAGAGAAAAGGAAAAGAAGGAAGAAATACCAGTACTCTCACAGGGTACACATGCTCCTCTATCGTCTACTGCAGATACCGAGGCACATGTATTAGTTAACCTTATAGATGGATCAACGCAGTTAAGAGGAATTTTCACTACCAATGACAATGCTAATAATAATAATAATAATAATAATAATAATAATAATAATAATAATAATAATAATAATAATAATAATAATAATAAGACTAGTGTTGATCCTTATGCTGGGGAAGAGAGGATACCTTCTAAATACCAATATTGCTGTTTCAGTACTCCCTCCTATTCCTTCGCACAGGCCTATGCAAATGATGATCGACAGCGTCTTCTTTTCATTATTGATCAACTCTCACATGTACTGCGTGAGGAACGATCTCAGAAGGAGGCACTCCAGCAGTGTGTTATTCCTGTAATGGTGCGACACATTGAAAGACTCGAACGAGAGGTGGCGTTGCAGCAACGTGAGATTGCCGCTTTAAAAAGGGAAGTAGCACTGCAGGTGGAACTCACACGCATGACAGAGTCATCAACTGATGACGATAGTGAGAGCGATAATGATAATGATAATGATGTCAATCATCACACTGATAGTGGTAAGATGAAGAAGAAACTTAAAAGGGAAGGACATGTAGCGGATCTACTACTACAGTGTGAAGAGCATCTGCGTCGTCTTGTACATAATAATAATAATAATCATAAATGAGAGGGCTGATATTTAAATGGATGCATTCATAAATAAATAAAATAAACAGTTGGTCATGGTTTTTTCTTCTCCTTATTATCTCCTATTTTGTTTCTGTTAATTGAAGTAGTTTATGGCTCGTTTGTTTGTTTTTGTATTCTTCCTTTCCCTCTCTTTTTTTTTTGCACGAGTGGGAAGCAGTGCCAACTAATGGCTCCTGTTCTGTGTGTGTGTTTGACCACCAAACTTATCACTTGGTCACAATGTATTCTAGTTGCATTGATTGCTATGATTTATATTTGATATAATCATATTGTTTTTTTTTGTATTGTATTGTTTTCTTGTTGATCTCAAAATAAGTAATCAGATTTTTGTTTCACCTATATATTATTATTATTACTCTTTCTCTTTTTCTCTCTTTGTAAATGTTTCAAAACGAAAAGAGAAAGAAAAACATAGGGAAGGTAGTGGGTAACTCACGTCTGGGGGGAAAATCTCTTGAAGATATTTATTTTATTTATTTTTTTCGTTATTCTTTTGAAAGAAAAAAAAAAGAAAGAAAGTTACCTTCTCAACGAGGAACATAGTACGTACATATATTTTTTAGTGGTTAAACCCATTACATATTAAATATGCGGAGAGGTAGAGAGACCAGTATTGGTGAGGCGTGTGAAATGGAAACACGAACCAGTTCAATGTCAACATCACGAAAACGGAGTGGAAATGCTGGCAGTAGAGCATTACGTGCCATTCGAAAAAAAACACAGGCAGTTACTTTAGCCCCTCGACTTCTCGGTACCCGCGTGAAACACCTTCTACGGGATGAATTGTATATTGATGTGAGTATACGTAATGCCCCAACTGTGGTAACGAATGAAATTGCTAATTTAGAGCTTCTCGCAGCTTATCACCGCTGGTTGCGTGGAGTACATGCGCTGCTTGCTATTGTGGTGTTTGTCCTTTCCCTAGTGCGTGCAGATGTAGTAGTGAACTGGACCATTCTCGCTGTATCGATTGCAGCCATATTAATTATTATAAAGGTGTACGGTATTAAGGCAGAATATACAGGACTTACGAATGTCATGTATAAAGAAAACCGCAGTGTTCTCACTTCACCTTTTGTGAATCAAATGTTTTTGGAGATTTTAATATGGATTATTCAAACTCCACCTATTATTTTATTTTGGCGACCATTCTTTGAGCTTTTGAATTATTTCATCTTTATTCGTCTCTATGTTATTGTGGTGTATATTCATAATGCTGTCTATGTCCATCGTACCTTCTGTCGTGCTATGGCAGCTGTAGTGGGATTGCCGTTGAGTATTTCTTTTACTATACGTACTGCACTTGTGTATAGCAAAGCAAAGGTTACCTGCTTTACAATACTGATTTCGTGGATTAGTATTGGTTGTATGTATAGTAAAGCAGAACATGTCTCTTTAAGTGATGGTCTTTGGTTTTCATTTCAAACCCTCAGTACTGTTGGCTATGGAGATCTTTCACCCACAACGACCACAGGGAGACTGGTAACTGTGTTAGCGTGGATTGTAAGTTTTCTTCTTATTGCGTATATGGTTGTTATTCTTCATGGTTCTCTCGTACAGGATGAGAATGAATATAATATGTACGTTTTGATGCGATGTCACAAACTTTCACATAAGGTACGAAATGAATCTGCACGTGTAATTCAAAAAGCATGGCGTTTTCACCGCGCTAGTCTTCAACTACCACAAACAAGGATACGGAAAGTTAAAACATTATTGCAAGCATGGTCCCTCACACATACTATTTCTAGACTTCGTTATGTACGACAAGATTGGGTGTATACAACACGTCTATTTCGAGAGAGAAGACATAATCCTATTGTGGGGTTATCAGAATATAAACACCGAGAAGAACTGTATATTGCACAATGTGCAGCTCGACACACTCAGCGACAGAGTGATGTGGATGCCTTTATGCAATTACTGTTAAAGAAACAAGATAAAATGCCGACACGTGAAGAAGTAGAGCAAGCCATTATTAGTAATAGCTTAGATAACAGTTTTTCCTCCTTTTTGGATGGAGCACGTGCCCCAAACGTAGTTACTACTAGTGCTGTACCATCGCTTGATATTGGGAGTCTTTTCGATAAGGTAGAGGATTTAGAAACTAAATGCAGAGAATTAACAACAACTATAGAATCCCTTTTGGCGACAGCAGCGACTAACCCTCCCAGTCTCGCTCATTCACACGAGCGATAGATCCATAAATTATATATATATATAAATCAACTGCTGCATATCTAATGGCATACACAAAAACACAAAGGTAAACACATAACGGAAGAATGAGAGGATAGGAATTATGGTGATGATGATGAGTAAATGTTGTTGCCAACTTTTGTGTGTTTGCATGTGTGCATGTATTTTTTCTCTATTTATTTGGATGCTATCGAATGAAAAAAAAAAAAAATTAATGGAAGGTTCAACCGGTTCATATTGAGTTTTTATTTATTTTTATTTTTCTCGTTGTTTTTTTTTTAGCCTTAATTTTTTTTTAGTTCTGCCTCTCTTTCTTTCTATCAGCGTTACGGACATAAGATTTACCCAATAATGAAAATATGCGTTACATATTGTATTGTGACTGATGTGTAGAACTTTCTCATGCTTGTATCTAATTCTGTTTTTTTTTTTTTTTTTTTTGTTTGTTTGTTTATGTTTTTTTTTTTTTTTCTTTCATCTTTCTGGTCTATATGATTCTTTGGGTAAAAATGTACACATAAATAAACGGGTATTTTGAGCAGATTGAACAGAAAGGAAAGAGTTGAAGTAAAAAAAAAAAAAAAAACTATTATCGAACCCCAGAGGGAGGGAGGGTAGACGTAATGGAGCTTCGTGAACGAGCTGAACGGCTTTTGCGGCCACATGAACCCACTCCTATTCCTCCTGTAACAGAAAGCACCCGTCTACTGTCTCGGTCTGAACAGGCAATGATGAACCGTCGTTGGCTACGTGGGGCAATGTGTTTTTTAGCAATTATCTGTTATGGTCTTTCACTTTTTGAAGAGACTGTAATCACGCACTCCCTTATTCTCGTTTTTTCCCTCGCCGGTGAGGCTGCCATCATTGGAATTTATCGTGCCAAGGCACGTGTATATGGGATCACCAACCGAGCTGGTGATAAACCCACGGTGAATGTCTTTCATTCACCTCTTCTTGACAAAATGCTTCTAGAGATGCTAATATGGATTATTCAAACTCCACCCATTCCTGGTTTAGCGAGGGACAGCTGGTTTATGTGGCTTGACACCTCCCTCCTCCTTCGTTTCTACGTGGTAGTAATGTATGCGACGAATGCCACGCAGGGTTCCAGCTTTGCTCGTGGGGTGGCATCTGTTGTAAAGGCCCGCCTTACCCATCGCTTCTATCTGCGGGGCTCGCTGCTCTCTTGGGGTCTGTTGCTTCCTGTGACTGCGCTGGTGGGCGGGCTGCTGCTGCTGGGCACCTTCATTGCGCGGGTGGAGGGACTCCCTTGGGTGGACGCCGTTCATCTCACCGTTGGCAGCGCCTCCCTCGTCGGCCTCGGCGATGTGACCCCCGTAACGGCGGCCGGGCGGACTGCGGCGGTGGCGGCGTGGCTTCTCGGCCTTCTCGCCCTCGTGGGGGTCATCGGGGCCGCCGCGACCACCACACGTCTCGGGCCCGCCGGACGACATCTGCACGCTCTTTTCCGCAGCAACGCCATCCGCGCCAGACTGCCACCTCACGCCGCAAAGGTCCTCCAGCGGGCATGGAGATTACATGCCGCAAGGCGGGCACGGAAAGGAGTCATTACACGACAAATCGCCGCCTATTTACTCTCGCAGCAGGTCATCACGTTTAGGGACATGCGGCGTGAGCTGAGGCATTTTGAAGCAATTTTCCTCCATTCCATCCGAACTGTAGAGGATTACATGAACCCCACACCACGTAGCTCACCCGGGGTCACACCGCAAACCTCCCGTCCAATTTCCCCCGTCAGTACACCGCGAGCACGTCAAGGACTTTCATCATTTCAGGAATTCCATGGGAAGGCAGACAGGCACATGAGTTTGACAACGACGCCAAAGACACCCCGGATGCAGCATCAACAAAAACAACAAGCGACTGTTGCTGATGCTACTCCTACTGCTACTGCTACTGGGACCAGGCGGTCTTTGACAGATTTGGAGCAGATGCTTTCGAGGTTAGAGGGTTCACTAGATACTCTAAAAATCCATACCGAACGGCTTCAGAGTCGCCTAGGGAGCAGGAATACCATATCGGTGTGATTATATATATATATATATTTATATTTATATTTGAGTTGTGGAGGTGTCGTGGTGATATTGCTCTTGGTATTCTCTTTTTGAGGTATGCTTAGAACAACAGAAAAGGGGCAAAAAAAAAGGGCGAATGCTCTTTTCTTCTTTTATATATATATTGTTCTTCTCTACTGCTGTCAATAACAGCACTGTCATTGATGATCATTACTATTACCACAGTTGTAGCGGGGTTTTGCCCATTTTGTTTTTATCCGTTTCTCTCTTCGTTTTGTGAAACATGTTTTTGTACCCTTCTTTTTTTTTTTTTGTTACTTGCCTTTATATATATGTGTGTATACATATCATTCTGAGCATCAACGTTGTTGTTGTTGTTTTTTTTTTCATTCTTCCTTCATCTTAACGGTCTCGTGTAGTCTGAGCTAAGCGAGGGATTAACTATACATTCCACATACCCATACCCAGATAACCTTTTTTTTTTCTTTTGAAGCTCTGGTGGCATTCACAGAACCATTTGGTTGAGGCAAATCATCCTGTTACATCAAGTGAAATTAAAATAAATTAAAAAAAATTAAAAAAAAAAATATGACCCGGCAATCAGATGTACAGGAGTGCATGAACTCCATCTCCAATCGCTCCGAGAAGGCAACGGATGTCCGCGCGTATGACGAGCAGTCCGTTGAAGAGCGCATGCGAAAACTCTTTACTGAAATAGCGGAAAAAAAAGCAGCAGAGAAGAAAAAAGCAGATGAACTGGCGCAGATACCAGTAAAAAATGAGGACGTGGAGGTGCTAATGTCTGAACTCGGTTGGGAACGTACAGTAGCAGAACATCGGCTACGTGAGAAGAAAGGTGATATTGTTGCCATAATGCGGGAAGTTGTTGGACTTCCAAAGGCAAAGGTGACCGTGAAAACAGTATCTTAAACACATGTACAGAGAAAACACAAGAAAATAAACGGCATTGTGTATCAAATACCTTAAAGGTAAGTGAAGAAGTATCTTTTAACATGTCTGTGTTTGCGGTGGTTTCTCCTGCATTCTTGAATAAACTGGGAATTCCCTTCAGGACCAAAGCTACCACTTGTACTGCATTTCATGAGGCATTTTTTGCCTTTCTTTTTTGAATCCCCCTTTTTCATATGGGCGCTGATAATGAGCGCAATGTTGCATTTTTATTTTGTTTCTGCTGATGCCCATTCACACACACACTCTCTCTCTCCTCGTATCAAATAACGCTCTTCTTTCCTTTACCTTATTGAAAGAAACCATCAAGACACAAAGAAATCCAGGGAACTTCTTCAATAAGATGAGAAACACAGGCCCACTCCTTTTTCTCATTTGGTTTGCACTACTTGTTTCGCACCCTGTTTCCGCACGATCGTCAAAGTCGGAGCATGTCATGGTGTTCAGCGGCACTGGTTGGGAGTCTGTGGTTAAGAGCAAACCTGCTGAACTTCGAAACGCCCTCATCACCGATATTACATCTCAGCTCATTCGAAGGTATGCCTTTGATACAATTATAACTATTGATTCTCTGAAAACATCTGGCAACCTGCAGGTTGGAGTCTCTGTCAATCAGACAGTTCTCAAGGATAATGCCGATGCAGCTTTGCAGCATGTATGGCCAGCCGATGAAGCCAACTCTATGATTACTCAAGGCGCGTACCGCAAAACGTTGGCGTTGTACTCTGGGCCAGGCACCGCGTCCCTCATCAGTATTCAGGTCCCTACATTGTTTGGTAAAGTGAATGAATGTGATGCGCTTTGCGTGAGATTAATTGCGATGGGAATTGTCATGACTGTAATCATGGGGGTTACGATGCTTCTCGTGATTTTGTGGGTGTGTTGTCATTGGTGTTGTTGTAAATCTGACAAAGAAGATGTGCTAACGGGAGATAATCCCTTTAAATAAATTTTTTTTTCGTTTTTGTTTTGTTTTTTTTGTTCCCATTTGTTTTTGTTTTTGTTTTTTTGTTGCTAAAGGTAATGTGCGTTTACCATTACTAATTATCACCCCCACATGCCCACAGACAGAACGGTTCACAGCTATATATATATATCTACATGACTTATCTATCTGTTGCCTTGGAACTGTTGTTATACTATACATATACTCATATAGAGATACATCTAATTGGTTCTTATATACATATATAATATTCTGCTGTTTTTTTTTCGTTGTGGGCGGTTTAAAGACATTTTGTATTTTACACTCCCATCAAGAGAATCCATGCATATTGTTTTGTTCTTCGTTATTATTCCTTTTTTCATATGAGCGCAATGTTGCATTTTTATTTTGTTTCTGCTGATGCCCATTCACACACAC